GTGTTTGCTTGCTGTTACCACTCGTTGACTGCAAGTGCAAGAGTACGGCGTTTTGTCGTGTAGGAGTGAAGCTTCTGGAGCGAGCTGTGCCTCAGGGGTCGGAGGTTGAAGTTCTGTAGGTGCAAGTGACGTGCAAGTGACGTGCAAGGGACGTGCAAGTGATGTGCAAGGGAGGTGCAAGTGCCGTGCAAGTGACATGCGACAGTACAAGGTCCTATGTGTTTGCGAGAAGTTGTGCTGTGCAGACGGAGATTTGTGCAAGCAAGGGACATGATGTGCAGGGTTCGGCCATGGCAGTTTCGCGACATGAGTGCGGTTTGCATATGTTGGAATGCGTAGACTCTGCAGTTTCGTGATATGAGTGCGGTTTGCATGTGTTGGAATGCGTAGACTCTGTAGTTTCGTGACATGAGTGCGGCTCGCCAATGTTGGAATGTAGTTTCTGCAGTTTCGTGACATGAGTGCGGTTTGCCGATGTTGGAATGCGTAGACTCTGCAGACTGGTGACACGAGTGCGGGTTTGCCTATGTTGCCATGTGTAGACTCTCTGACATGAGTGTGGTTCGCCTATGTTGGAATGCGTAGACTCTGCAGTTTCGTAGACTTTCTGCTTTGAGACGCTGTTGTCAATAAGTCCGGAAGGGCAAGAGTCTTATGAACAGCTTGCAGGGTTTGTGTGTGTCCACCCCTGTTTCAAAGGGTAGGCAAATCTGAGTCGAACGAGCAGGGGTCTGCACGGCTGGAGTGATCGGTTCAGTCCATGTGTTTGCTTGCTTTTGCGACTTGTAGACTGCAGTTTCGCGACATGAGTGCGGTTTGCATATGTTGGAATGTGTAGACTCTGCAGCTTCGTGACATGAGTGCGGTTTGCATATGTTGGAATGCGTAGACTCTGCAGTTTCGTGACATGAGTGCAGCTCGCCAATGTTGGAATGCGTATACTTCAGTTTCGTGTCATCAGTGCTGTTCGCCTATGTTGGAATGCGTAGACTCTGCAGTTTCGTGACACATGCTGGAAATGATTGCTGAGAGTATTCCTGCAATCATTGCTATTTGCCACGTTCTGAAAGCGATTTGCTAACTCAAACAGACCAGTAGCCTGTAGTCAAATTCAGGCCATGTCGGAGTCCAGCTTTGAGTTTGCAGTTCTGTAGGTGCAAGTGACGTGCAAGTGACGTGCAAGTGACGTGCAAGGGACGTGCAAGTGATGTGCAAGGAAGGTGCAAGTGCCGTGTAAGTGTGCAAGGGATGTGTAGTTTGCAGCCACCACAGAACTGTTTCAGAAACTTCAGAAGACCAACGAAGTGGTGGGGAACTTGCTGCAAGTGATGTGCAAGCTCCTGCAATGAGCCCGGTCGGGCTTGTGTGTGTCCAACCCTGTTTCGAAGGGGAAGTAAACATGTCGTGATTGAGCAGGGGGACGGAGGGGGTGCAGGGGAGCTCCGTCCAACGAAGCTCTCCCCTACACCCTAGGAAAACGTACCTGCTTTGCCTGCGCCTGGGCCCCGTCGTGGGCAGCTATCGAGGCACTCTTGCCAGTCAAAGTTCTAGTTGCTGCCATGTTGATGAGCCTGGAGACCCCATGCTAGTCATGTTTGAAGGTTCTGACTTCTCCTGACTTATGCTGACTTCACAGACCTGCGACACATTGTGTCAAGTGTGTGTCTTTGTGTACGTAGGTATGTAATGTATGCATGCATGAATGCATGGTTGTATGGATGCATGGGTGCATGGATGCCTGTGTATGCATGTATGTATGTAGGTATGCAGGTATGACATTCGCAACTGGCAGGTGCCAGGCACTCTCAGCAGAAAGGACCTCAGCTTCTGAGCGTGGTTATTGTGGTTAAGCCATCATCATCATCATCATCATCCTCATCGTCATCATCCTCACCACCATGATCTTGGCAAACACCCCTTGTTTGCAAACCTAGCAAGCAGTAGTACATACATATATATATATATTTTTATGTATCTCTTCCTCTCACTCTCTCTATACATATGGGCAGAACCTGAAGCAGACTTCTTCTGCTTATGTCGTGTGTCGATGCTGCTGTTGGTGCCAGTCTTTCGTGGTCGATTGCATGAGTAAGGTCGTGCCTGCTCGTGCGCCGGATGCAGCGCACTTCAAGTCGACATGGTTGGGGAAGAGCGAGCGCCGGCAACAGTTTCTAGCGAAGTCGTTTATTGACGGGTCAATGCCTTTGGTTGGAAGTTTAACTCGCCGGACACGGGCACGGGCTCTGCAAGGACCCTAGTTGTTCGCAGCTTGGACTCGCCACAGTTGGCCATTGTGTGTGTGTGTCGTCTGTCGTGGATTATGAGTTTCGGTTGTGACCATTGTTTTTTTTTCCGTAGTTTGGCATGGCTTCAACTTCAACTTCATGCGTGTGGAGTTGTGGGCTTTCAGACGGCAGGTTGGGATGACTGGCAGACTGTACGTAGGTTGGGATGAACGGACGCTATAGCCCTCAACCAGATCTATGTAGCATGGTGGCTCGCAAGCGGTGCGTGGCATGTGTGGACTCAAGCCAGCTCGGAGCACTGCAGCTGTCATGCTTCATGTCGGGAATGGTGAACTGGCGGACTGCAGCAAGACACGTGCCATTGCGATTGCTTCATCGTCACCGTTGCCGGTAGTTCATGCGGCTTTGATGGCTAGCTATGGAGGCTGGTCTCATGCATGCGTAATGTACCTGCGAAGCTGCCGTAATGGGGAACAGTTCGTCTCGTGCGCACCGGACCCCTGTTTCGTAGTGCTAGCGCCCTTCCGTTGGATGTTTGGAGTTTGGAAGTGAGGTTTCCACACATTTTCGGTGCCCAATCTAGCACCTGCGAGGCCGAAAGCCCAATATACGAGTGGTTGCATAGTTCATTCGGGCCGCTTGCCTGACTTGAGTAAGTTTCTTGAAGTATAAGACCAAGCCTTACTCCTTCATCATGCGCCGCAGGTCCCAAACAGAAGTGCAACGCAGAGGCCAAGCAAAGCAGGACGCGCTTCCCAAACTCCGTCAGGCTGAAACTGGAGCTTCGTGCGTTGGGTCCGTGCCACAGGCAGCTTCGACGACGATTCCTGACATTGTTCTTTGTTGGATGGTTGAGGGTTCCGATCCCGGAAGAGTTCAAGCTTCACAGTCTTGAGGTCAAAACTCCATGCACCCCCACTTCACCAACCTTACGATGCCGTGTGCACTTCCCCCCTCCCATCGCGCTTAGCTCCCCGGCCCATACTTTTTGGTGCCGGCACGGTTGTTTTTGATACCGGAATATTGGTTTCTGTGATGGGGTGTGTGCAACAAGCGGTTGGCCGGGGACACGTCTTGGCGTTCCACTTAAGGAGCCAGGCAAGAAAGTCTTGGCTTCTGCCTTGTGCTCGTCACTGTTGTTGCGACGGTGCTGGTGGTCATTGTTGTCGTTGTTCCCGTCGTCGTTGTTGAGGTGGTGGCAGTGGTGACACTGGTGGTGGCATGCGTGTAATGTATGGCACCTTTTTGTAACATGCAGACTTGGTTGGATTTTGGAGGTCTTGGAAGTTTTCACCGGTCACCGGCTATCCAGTCCAGATGGTTGAAAGCAAGCTGTTTGCGCTTGCGGTTTGCCAGGGTTGCCGTTGGAGCTGTGGCCGCCAGTGATTTGTTCCAGATACGTTAAGTCTGTGGGAGGGGGGGCAGCCTGTGCGACATCGCGAGGCCACGCCTAAAGCTTGTTCGGCGTTTGCTTGCAGTCTGTATACACTATATTCCCAAGACGGTTCATTGCTTCCCTCTTGAGGTCCACTGTGCCCAGCACTGCCGAGTCTGCCGCTCGGTCTTGATGTCGATGTCCAGTGACGCGCAAGTGGTTCACTTGGCGCGAAACGGGCGACCACAGCATGTGGACCAGTGACTATGACTAATTCGTGGCTCTTTCAGTGCTGCTCGTAGGTTATGGACGGTGGGGGCCTTGTTCCGCAAGCTGCGGAGCAGGGAAGCGGGCTTGTTTTCCACTCCTTGCGCGTTCATGCGATGTATCCCTTTTTCTCAAATTCCGGAAGACGAGTTCTGGGGAAAGGATTGCGAATGTCACGGGCGAAGGTTTGGGCCCCATTGGCAGGTGGCCTGCATCATCCCGAAAAACGGTGTGGCTTAACGGACTGCCGGAGAGTTATTCTTGTTCGAGCTAGTCTTGTTCTATGTGGACTAGTAATAACAGTGACTGTCCATCAACAAAATATCGTCTCGGATGTCATGCTTCGGCCAAGGCCTGAGACGACTGCAGTGAGCAATAGTTCAGAACGTCCTATACCGGACCAGGGGTTCTTTTCCCAAAGAAGCTGGTTTTTTTTGGACAGAGGGACCCATGGTTTTCGGATGCACTTAGCCAATTAAATCAGGAAACTTGTGCCAAGCAATGAAGAAGTGTGATCAGTGATCGATTGCAATGCTTCCACACCGTGACGGAGGAGCACTGTTGCCTGATCTGGTTCTGACATGAGGCACTGCTGAAAATCTCAGTGAGTGGTCGCTAATGTCACAAATGTAGTTGCCGGATCTTCGAAGGATTATGTAGGCGTGACAGTGCGAGCAATTTCATTTCAACTTCATTCTGCCAAGGTGAGTGCGGCTGAAAACAACACAATGGATGTGCACGAGGGCGGCTTTGTTGGTTTTTGAGGTTGCGCCGGCGTGAAGCACCCTGAATTCTTGGCTCTTAAACGGCCGATTCGAAGAATCCCGAACCGAACCGCCCCCGAAACGCTCGCTTTCTGGGCTCCCAGCTTGACGGGGGCTCGGCCGAGGGGGCCCTTCGTTCAGAAGGGGGGAAACTCCCGCAGCCGGCCTCGGCCCCGCCAAGGGCTCAGCGTGCCGGGCCGGTTCCTTTAACTTTAGGACTCTAGCTCCCCTTCTCTGGTCTCTTTCTCCTTTCCTTCTATGGCTTCATTCCTCTCTTCTCTCTCTCCCTGCTTCCTCTCTCTCTCATCCGCTGCCTGCTTTGTCGCGTGCGCTCAGGCGGAAGGCGGGATGCTCATCCCAATGCCGCAGAGCTCTCAGAGCTTTGCGTTTGGAGAGAGGGAAGATGCCCGCTCCGGCCACCGGAGAGCATAGGCCCGTCGCCCTGGGCGGCTACAGCAGCTATGCGAAGTCCAGGCACCGAGGGCCTACGTCGCAGTCGCAATGGGTTGAGGGTAAGGGGTTTGGGGCGGGCTTGAGGGCTCTAAAGCATCGGCAGACAGCGGCTTTCCCCTGAGAGGCAGACGACCATCCTTTGCTTGTTGATCTTGCAGACCGTCGTCATCCTTTCCCGCTGGGTGCGCGGCTGAGTGCTAGACCATCAATCGTGGTTGTAAGTCCCAGAACGGGAAGACATTCAACAAAAAAACGCTGGCTGCAGTCGGAAGAGCCTTGAGCCTTGAGCCTTGAGGTGTTCCTGCTGGATATCCTGGGTGGATTTATTATGGCCCGGACCCTGGAGGGATTTTGTCGTGGGCTTCAGCCATGAGCTTTTTTGCCGGGCTTTGTGGCGCCGTTTGTGCGAGATTCACATGGCGAGTGCCTTCGCTGCGGCAAGGCCATCGCGACAGGTTTCGGGTGGTATGCCTACAAGGCCAACTGACGTGTGCTCTGTGCGCTTTGCCGCCCCACGCCTTCCGCTTTGCCGGTGCTTCCGCTGCTACAATCCGTTCAATGCTTGTTCTGTCTGCCTCGGTCTCGGCGCAGGAGGAGATGCACGGCACCTTCCTCTGTCCGCTGCCCGAGATCTAGGAAAGAATTGAGAGGCTGAGATCTTGCGGAAAGTGCCCAGAACCTGCGTGTTCGTAAGGTTACTGGGGTATGATGTGCTTCATCAACGGCGTCTTCGATTTCGTGAAGTTCATTGATTTCTGGGCCGGGCGCCAAGGACAACACCGTGGGCACTATAGCGGGTCGCCTCATTCTGTGCTTCTCAGCTCAGGTCCACTCTCCGTTCCCCCTTTTCTCTGACAATCTGCCCTTCAGGCACATTGCTTCCTGTAGTTCTGAGAAGGAAGCCAGAGAGTCTAGACATGTGCACAGCAAGTCATGCGGACAGCTGCAGGGTCTCATGACAGAGTTCCTGCGCCATTGGCTCTGTGTCACGCGCAGCTCGAATCTACGATCGCTGATCCTCATCCTGGTCCCCGCCGTCACGCTGCCTGCGGCCGTGATTGCGTGGTCCGGACAGGGAATCAAGAAGCGGGTGCCTGCTCACCGCTATGCGTTGTATCAGGTACGTCTACAAGGATGCGGAGAATGGAGGAGGCCAGACGGCTCGGCTAGACAAACTGAGGGTCAGGGCACATCGGCGGCTTGTTTAGCTGGCGAGTGCATCCCTTGCTGCCGGAAAAGCCAAGGTGGCTACGAGGACCGTCGAAGCCTCAGAGGGCAAAGTGCTGTGACGAGTAGACACGGCTTCAAGCGAGGACCAGACTGCATCACAGCATCCGAATCTCTTCTGACGGCGTGGAGGCTCCGAGCGCGCACCCCTGCGGGGTTCCGGCGGCAGCAGCGGTCCGGGCTTGCAGGGGCCCTAGGGAAGAAAAGGAAGGAGAAAACGGAGAGCGTGGAGAGAGGGAGAGACACAGAGAGAGATATGGCGAGAGGACATACAGAGACAGGGAGCGGAGTGTCTTGAGCTAGTGGCAGAGTGTCAAGTGTGCTTGCATGTGTGTGCGTAGGCATGTATGTATGTATGTATGTATGTATGAACATATGTATGTATCGAATCATACTGTGTGTCTGTACGTACGCACGTGCATATGTATGTACAGCCCTTCAGTTTCCTGATTCGATTTTTTTTGAAACGAAGAAGGCAACAGAAGAACCACCGAGAAGAGCAGAATCAGAAATTGGCACGCCGAGGTCAGTGTTACACTGTTACACTCTCAAGTCCTTAAGCCAATGATTTCTTAAGCAGTGGTCCAAAGCCGCAAAGCAGACAGCCACTGTAACATACCTCTGCCTCCTGAGGCTCTCCGGCTCGAGTTTCCAGGCCTTCGGGGGCCAGGGACAACGTCTGGGCCGCTGGGCTTCAAAGAAGGGGCCGAAAGCAACTTCCCGAGATCTCCATCAAATCAAGCGGATTTCTGCACTTACAAGTGCCCCACAAACGCTGTTGGCCCATTGGCGCACAGGCTGCATGAGGTTTTGACCTGAAGTTTTGCTCGGAAGTTGTGCTGACGATGTGGGTATTTACTCGAGGAGTTATGCTGTCATCTCTCAGCGCCGTCAGTCACGGGGTCTTGGGGTGTAGGCCGTTCGACTGCGTGCGTCCGTGACTGCCCATCGTTTTTCTCAAAAGCCTCGTCCCTGAACCCCAAACCGAGGTGCAGCCTAAATGAAAAATCGCGCCTGTGTGGGCAGCGGCACTTCATGGTTCCTGTGATTCTGGCGCTTAAACTGGAGCGCACCTGCTTAAAAGGAGGTGCCCTACAGGGACTTCGTGTGCCTTTGGGGTTTGAGAGAAGCTACGTTCTTCAAGACAGGGTTTAGGGATATCTTATAGTGCAATTGTTGGCATCTCAAGGACCATGCGGGAAGATTATTATCAACTATTCCGGCCCCGACCCCTACATGACACTGTCCAGCAGTGTTTAACGCCCAGACGGGGAGCTCCTAGAGACCTTAAAGCCGTGCAACGGAGCCCAGCGCCTTCGTTGATGATCGAGTTGGCAGCTTTGTCCCCCCCCCCCCCCCCATGGGCCCATGGGCCTCAAGGCTCCATGCTCTGCGCGGTTTCAACACCTTGGACATTGGATCAGCTTGTTTTAAGATTGAAGCCCCAAAGCCACAGAAGAACCTCCAGTCCACTTGAGTGCCCAAGCCCCAGAGCAAGCCCGGAAGCCTCACCGGAGAAGCCCTGATGTTGGCTCTTGTTGCAAAGTTGCAGATGCATATGGGGCTCAGCCTTGCACCTCTTCCGAGCCACCATCGTAGTTGCAGTCGAGATGCAACGTTGCTTCGCCAGCAGAGCTCTTGACATCTCTTAAAACTTGGGTGGTAGATTGCTCGAAGGCAGTGACTCGTCTGACCGAGAGCCATGGTGGGGGTACAGTGGCCAGGCCCGGGCTGTTCATCGGTGGCGTCGGAGTTCAGTCTTAGAGTCTAGAGAGAGTTCAAGCGCATCTTCTGACCGCGTCTCACAAGAGACCCAAGTCAAGTCTGCGCACGGCGAAAGAAGTGCTTTCTCCGGCACAAGCACCCAGTTATCGAAAGTTTCATGTGGTACAATGTGCAAAAGGGCTTACAGGCTTCCCGTTAAGTGATCAGCACGGAGGGATGGTGAAAACGGCTGTCTCCACGGAGTTCCCAAAGCGAAGGAGTGCATTGAACGTTTCGACTTGGGTTTGTCGTGCCACAAGACAGGCCAGCGAGAGGCTGTGGGTCAACTTAGGTTTCCAAATCACTAGAAACCTCTCATCCTCAAGCAACCCGTGAAATCCAACATCCCAAAGCCTTAACTCTCGCACCGCAATCTTCCTCCATCTGCGAAATCTTCAGCGGCTCAAGACCAGAAAAAGAGTTCCGGCCGCCGCGAAACAGGAACTCAGCCAAGGCACCATCAGGTTCAGTTTTTTTGAGGGCTTTTGGGGTACAAGGTTTGTATCATGGGGTTCCAGAAGGTTTTACTGACAAGGCCAGCGGCCAGAGTACACCATCCCTGAAGCGCTGCTGCGCTTTTTGTCCCCCTTTTTGGACCTGTGCTCCGAAACGCTGGCAGGGCCATGGCTGAGGAAGAGGAGCAGGTCTTCGACTTTGGCTCGAAGAAGAAAAAGAAGACCAAGGACAAGAAGGAGAAGGCCCACAAAGGGGGCGAGCGCCGGAGCTTGATCTCCAGTTTGGCTTGATCTCATCGGAACACTGATCCGACTTCGCACCAACACGAAGCTCGGCATGGAAGCAGCCTGTGCAGAGGATCTTCCAAATCGCGAAAATTCCAGCCCCCGCTTTGGATACCCTTTGTTGCGGTACTCGCAGGTAGGAGTTTAAAATGTTTAGATTATGGCAAAATTATCGAGCCCTTTGGAAGATCCGGTTCGAAAGGCTGTACCCTGTCAGAGCCCGTTTTTGGACCTTGTCTTATTTTGAATGGGAGCCAGCGGCCAGGCGGACAAGGATGACGGTGCCAAGGCGACAGAGCAACTTCCCCCATGCTCGCAGGTTTTCTGTGTTGCTACTGAGGTTTGGGCTGTAGGGTCAAGACTTGAGCGTCGAGGGTTGAGGGGTTGAGAAGCTGTAAGAGATCCGAGCTGTTATCAAAATGGGAATCCTGCATCATCGGGCTGTCCTACCGCAGTCGCTCCTTCTGAAAACCCTCTGCCCTTTTGCCCAGGAGGAAGGCGAAGTGAAGCTTCAAGGTGTTGAGGGCTGGACGCAAGGCCCGGAACCGGGGCAAGCGGCAAGCTCTCCGTTGTCGCAGAAGACACGTCGATGGCGCAGGCGAGCTGCACCCTTACAAGGACCTGCTGGAGCGTCTGTACAAGATCATTGAGGCGGGAGAGGGCCCACAACAGGAGGGTTACAAGTCCTCAACTTCGACTAGATCCTGAAACACACCCAGAAAATGGATTCCACCAAAAACTGGTCCGACTCTGCTACAGGAGCACAACCCCGAGGTGGGGAACAAGGAGCGCTACATCCTGAAGCCGCCCCAGGTGGTCCGTGTTGGCTCCAAGAAGGCGCATCGTCAGCAGATGATTGTCATGATTCATGATTCTCATCGCCGTGAGTATTGTCTCTATCATAATGTGGCACATGTTGTTGCTATTGCTGCTTGGCTGGTGGTAGTGCATGCAGCCTTGGCGAGCAACGGACATACCGACCATCATCAGTATTTGGTTCAGGATTCAGGTAGTCCAAGAAACAGCCCACTCTTTGTGGAAGAACAGGAAAGGGCGAGACTCCGAAACGTGCCAGACTTTGGAGACTGTCCGAATGCCTTCTGCCATGCACGGCGCCCTTAGCCCGACGTCTTCGGTATGTAGGGCCTCCTGCGTCGTACGCCAGGTTGCCTGGGTGAACTTCTCCGAGCTTGGGGCCCCATTTCAACATAACGAAGGTTACACACACTAGCAGGAGCATGTAAGTTTCAGGCTACGGGACTTTTGGGACTCTGAGTTTTGGATTCTTGCGGTTTGCTCTGCAGGTTTAGAATTTGAGGTTTTCGGTCCAAGGCATATTGAATTGTGGCTTAGTGTGGTGGAGGAGCGAAAGGGGTGGGTCAGTTTCAGGGTATTAAGATTCTTACGCATGCTGGCTGGAGACCATGGTCAGCTTCTTCCGGGAATGAATTGGCTTTGAAGGGGTGTCATGATCCAAATTGAGAATTTGCAAGAAAGTTTTGCCCGGGTGCAGTTGAGACCATTGGGCGAGTACTCCCTGTGCCTTTCGGTAGATGGTGCTTGACATTGTCGGCCAAGGATCTGCAGCATGATGAAGAGGCCAGTGGATCATGCCGCTCGGCTCGTTTTGATGATGCACTCGTCCCGTAAGCTCACCTACACGCCCTTTCCCGGTTTGCTCCGCCGTGATGCAGCTTGACCGTGCTGACTTGCAGCACCGACTCCCAACCCTATATAAGTAAACTCCCAAAAAAGTCTTAAACTTCAAGGATACCAGAGCTTTCCAAGTCCCTGCAAGCACACCATAAAATAGCCCGGAACCAGAGCTTGCCTTGCTGAGGTGGTGCAGTTTGTGCTAGCCGAGTTCGGCACCGAGGGCTCCGTCGCTGGCAGCGCCTCGCCTAAACTCTGAACCCTGAGAGCCTAAACCTTAAACTTTACACCCCTAAACCTTGAACCCAAGACCTTAAACCAAGAACCTTAAAACTCTGGGCGGCCCGGTTGGTTTTGCGGAAGGAGATTCTATAGCTAGTTTCGTGTAGCAGGACTCATCTGCATGGAATAAGACTATATGTTCAATCGTCGTGCACCCCGAATAATCAATTAGATAGGTTTGATTCGTGACATTTTTTCCATAGTCTCCTGGCGAGGAAGAAGCAGCCTACCCGCGAATAACGAAGTGCAATCGCAGCTATAGGTTCGCATCCATGGACTAACAAACACTGAATCCTACAAGCCCTTAACCCTAAAACCTGAAACCCTACACCCTCAACCCTGAACCCTAAGCCGCCTGAGCTGTATCACTGCGTCAAAGAAGGGCCCAAGAGCCGTCCAGGTGCCACCACGCGAGCAGAGGGCCAAGGCCAAGACGGCCAGCTGGTCCTCAAGGCACCCCCCCATATCAGGTTTCTAGACCGGGGTTGTCATCTTCTGCACGTCGTAAGAGCCTCCGTTTTACCGTCGGTATCGTCTTGTCTACAGTGGTCCAGCATCATTACCTGGCTCCTTTTCAGTCTTCTGCCCTGACTCTGGCTCTTGGGTGTTACAGGACGTGTCTGTCAGTTCTTGGAGGTGACGTGGCCAGTCACCCTAGGTATTATTACCCTTGCAGTTTCTACGGAGCTAACCTGCCAAGTATCAGCAGGGCTCAAGGGTTCTTAGATTCGGGGTTTCGGCTCATTATCAATACCACTATCTGTCTCTATCTCAATATCAAGCTCTGTCTATACTTTATAACCACCCTCTATCTACATCCACATCTATACCTATGGAATACCTATGGATCGATAGACAGATGCATGCATGTGCATGCATGGATGGATGGACGGACGGACGGAGACAGAGAGGGAGAGAGGGAGGGAGAGAGAAAGAGAGTGAGAGCCAACTAACTGGCGATGAAGCTCGAAATCAGGGCCGCTACCAGCCCAAGCATTGCGAGTCTCTGCTCCGGAAGTACATTAAGGCCCGCGCGGGGACGCAAGGGGCATGCGGAAGTTCTGTTTTGTAGGGATCTCCGTACAAGTAGAGTTTAGGGGTTGAGGGTTTTGCCCTCAGCTTTTCGCTTTTCGAGGGCGGGGGGATGGAAGTAGGTGGGCAGTCCTGGAACTAAAAACCCTTAAGCCCTTCAGCCAAGCCCTAAGCCCCAAGACAGCGTAAGCTTCAGGCTATCAGCCCCAGACCCTAGCCTCCGCAAAACCCTCAACCCTTGAAATACACCCTGAAACCCCGGGCCCTTCGCCCCAAACCAGCAAATCCCTGAACCGTACACTAGATCCTGGGGGGGTCGCCTCGCAGGAGTACGTGACTTGCGAGATGTGCAAGTCGGCCAGCACCACGCTTCGGAAGGTCAGGGGCAAGAGAACGCTTGAAGTTTTTTTTTTGCTGGGTTTAGGGAGGGTTTCTTGGGGTGGCTCAGGTGTTTAGGAATTTTCAGTGAGGTTATGCTCGTGCTTCGATATCAAGCTGTTACCTACTTGCAAAACGCAGGCCCCGCAGCCGTAAAGTTGTGACCCCACATTGTGCCACCCTACTTTCTGTGGTTCCGATGCTCCAACTCAAAAAGTGGTGTTTTTTTGGCTTTAACGGGGCGGGGGAAACGAACACTCGGGGCTTTGTGTGTTTTTTCTCCGGACAGGACCCGTCCACCCGCTTGACGATGGTCGAGTGCTCGAAGTGCGGCGCCACACGGACAGCGGCGTCCATCAAGGCCCGGGAGCTTTTGGGCGCTCTTCTTCAGACATCCGATAAACCCCCTGCTTCTTGACCCCAAGACTCCGAAAGCCCCACACACTCCAGAACCCCCAAAAGTCCCAAGCTCCAGACCCCAACCCTTTGAAGCTTTGGGCCCCCACTGTCAGGCCGGCTTCCACGCCGTGACGCGTGGTGACCGTAAGGCAGCCAAGCAGCTCAAGTAGAGCCGCCGCTTGGACCACTAGCCGTAGCTCAGAAAGCCAGAGAGCCCAAGACCCCCCCCCTCTTTTTGTTCAGGAGTCCACCTCAATAGCTTCTGTTTTCTTCCTTGGGGGTTTAGTTGTGGGCCCGGGCTCTTTGAGACGGAAGCCTTTCGGAGTCGGCGGAGAGGGGACGTGGGCTCTCTGTAAGCCCGACTCTCGCAGAACCGCGCTCGACTGCTCCACAGCAAGAGGTGCCCATCCTGAGGCCGCAGAACACCCCAGGTACAGGGGGTGTGGGGAATCCGCGCTGTTAGCAAAAAGTCGAAGCCTTTGCTGGTGTTGGGTCGATCTGTCTGTGACTTGCCATGAGGTTGTGACTTTCTTGAGGAAATTTACTACTGCAAATCCTACCAGTATCTCCGAAGCGTTCCCAAGTGGATTGAGCCAGTGCTTGCGGAAGGCTTTCGCATCAGGCAGCACACGCTAAGTTGCTCCAACGAAGGCTTTGTTGAATTGCAGACTCAGTTGTCCGAACCACTTGGACCCAGCATGCCGCAGCGACACCCATGTTGTCTGCCTCTGAGATAGCCATGACATAGACACTGTACTCTAGCACAGAATCATTTAGGAGCATCGTGGCACGTCCCTCCGTTCTGTTCGGCTCCAGAGCTGTGGGGCTCTTGGGCGTTCCCTAGGACTCAGGGAGCTCTCTGGGTCCTGTTTTTGCCATGGGAGAAGCTGCCGGGGACCTCGGAGTAGGCAGCTGCCCTCTTGTGTAGAAATCCGAAGCCCAAACCCGTATACCGGAACCTCATGATTCTTCGAGGAGTCTTCCTTTACAAAGGGATGTTGGTTACGATTTTCTTGCAGAGCCTTATGGTACCCTCAGTGCCCCAGCCCGACAGAATTCCGAAGCCGTAGCCTAAAGCCAAAGCTCCGTGACCCTACAGTGACAGGAGAGAACGCACAGTAGCCTTCACCCTAATATCCTAAAGCCTAGCACGAAATCCTATGCCATTAGCCCTAAATCCTGAACTTTCCTAGGCCCTGGCCCTCTAGAGCAAACTACACTTCCAAGACCAAAAGCCCAAGAAGAACCTCAACCCAAAACCCCAAACCCCATAATCTATAGTATAAGCTCTAGGTCTAGGTCATACTGTGAAACCCCAAATAATTATGATATACAAATCCCTAAGCCCTGCATTATAACATAAGCCCTTTACTATACTATAGACCCGGCACCCTCTAATGTAATATATGAAACCAAACCCTAAGCCCTGCACTCTAATATGTAAACCCAACCGCCGCCCGTCAGAAAAGTAAGCCTATTATTCTACTTTATAATCTGCGCCCTTAAGCCCATGCTGCTACATCATGTGAGCCCTAACCTCTATATTGAAGTTATACAAAGCCCGTAAGAAAAGAGCCCATGTAAAGCCCATATTCTACTGTATAACATCAACCCCAACACCTAGACCATATGTCTAAATCCCTCAGAAACAGAGCCCCAATACCCTAAACCCTCCTAAACCCTCCGAAACCCTAAACCCCCCTAATCCTTGAGCCCGAAACCCTGAACCCTACAGGCTCTAAGCACTAAACCCCTAAAGGCTCTGAGCTCCCCAAAAAGGGAGCCCGTTTTTCGGAGCCGAGGCCCGGGCCTTAGAGGCCTCGGCAGACGAGGCAAAGCAGCTCTGCGAGGCGCTTTCGGGAGCCTTCGGGGGCGAATTCTTGGGTTTTTTGGGTTTAGGGATTTTTTCGGGGTCTGTATTTGGGGTAGATATTTGGGGTATATTTTGGGGTTGAGGCTGGGGTTGATGTTGGGGTATCTTGGGGTATGTTGGGGTGCATCAGGGTTTGTTCGGGTTCAAGGAGCAGGGTTTAGGGCTTTGGGTTTTTTCTTCGAGGGCGCTTCAAAGTTTGGGCTTTGAGGGTCCGTCTGATTTTGGGCATCCCATTTCTTCATGAAGCTTCTTTGCACGAGAGCGGCCGCAACTGTCCCGCTTGGTGAGGAGATCCGGCGCATCGGCAAGGACGACCGTGTCACGTTTGGCGGGGAGCCCGGAGCGTTTGTATGCGCACCTTGCATCTTGGTACGTATGGACGCATGGGCTGCAACAGAGCGCATGTAGAAATGCTTTTGATGGCTCTTTGCATGTGCATGATCTTCGTTGTCCTTGTGGCTGCTTTGAGGTGAGCTCGTCCAGGCGCGAAGCGGGGCATCCGACGGCACCAAGCTTTGAGCTCTTTTGAGCGCCATCCAAAGCCCTGAACCTTCGAGCCAAAACCCGCCTGCTACTATACTACTCCTACTACTCCTACTCCTACTCCTACTACTACTACTACTACTACTACTACTACTACTACTACTACTACTACTACTACTACTACTATTACTACTAGCACCTGGGTCTTAAAAGACCCCCGTGTTCACTGCACTGTTTCCAGGACTCCGCGGTGGAGCAGCGCTTCGAGGCTCTCCTCGGAACCCTCAAGGCCAGGCCGCTCAGCGGAGAAGCGCAGGAGGAGGTGTGGTTGCGCTTTTGCGCTTTGCAGATGCAGGGCCTTCGGGGTTCCGGGTGTAGGGCTTTAAACATACCAGAGAGAGAGAGAGAGAGAGAGAGAGAGAGAGAGAGAGAGGGTGGGGTTTCGAAGCCCCTCATGCCCTGCAGAAGAAGAGAGCGAGAGCAAGACAGAGAGATGGAGAGATGGAGTGCATGTGCCTTCCATAGGAGCATGCAGGGATCGCGCACGTGCCAAGGCCGCGAAAAAGAAGGGCTTCCTCACCTTTGAGGGCGAGCTGCTGCTTCAGGCACATGGTTTCTCTCGTCGATTCTGTCTGGACTGGCAAAGCCTTCTGAGCTATACAAGCGCTGGCCCGCCCAGGGGCAGCATGACAACACGGTCATTGAGCTCAGCGGCAAGGCTTGCACGCAGTGCCTGCCCTTTGCCCCCACTTCGACTTCCATTGATTTTGGCTGCCAGGACAGGGAGGAGGCCGCTGCCGCGCCGCAGCAGGACCCGGTCTCGCCCAGAGGCTCCAGGTTCCCTCATGAGCTGACTTGTTCATGGGAAATTTATGATTACATGATTACGCAGACTCCGTAGTTGCAGGAGGGCTCACAAAGAGAGGACAAGGGTGTCTAATCAGCCGAAAGTGGGCAAAAGAAGCAAAAGTTTACCAGGGGTGGACCGCCTCGCGGAGATTGCAGTTCGGCTTTGCGCATGGAGAGCGCCTCGCTGAAGCTTTGCTCCGAGCCGACATCCCAAAGCCTCAAATCTAAAGCCCGGAGCCCTTTGAACGATCCCATCCGGGTGAAGCCACTGAAGCCCCAAACCCTCCCTACCCGTAGGCCCCAAAGTAGTTGCTTTTTGGGATTACCTTATAGGGTTCTAGAAACGAACCCCAAAAAGGAACTACTTTGGGGCCTTAGGGTAGACCTTCAAAGACGACCACCCCTTGCAGGACGCAGCGGAGCCCGACGTAGCAGCGGAAGCCGATGCGTCGGAAGAAGTGCCGGAGGCGAGCTCTGAGGGGTGGAGGGTTCAGGGGTTCAGGTTTCTGTTTCTGGTTTAGAGCTTATTTGAGGTTTAGGGGTTGAGTTTGTTGGGTTTAGTTAAGGTGTAGGGGGCTTGGATTCCGCAATCCTACAACTAGCATGAAAGGGCATCAACAAACTTGCCATGTCAGAGACTATGAACCGCCGACGTTCCTCTTTCGCTATTTAGGTTCTTGCGATCAACTTTGCCATGCCGATGTTAGCATTGCACTGTCGGAATCTTCGCGTGATTGCCGCCTCCTCTTCTCGCTGCGGATGGTGATGCTCATGGTTAGCATCATTACGATCGTCTGACTGTCTACTTCACCCATCAGTCTCACCCTAAAGCAAAACCCTTCCCAAATACCTAGCAGAACCCCCCCCGCCCCCTATAGCTATACTTCCCTAAACCCCAGCCTTGCGCTTCCTTTCTCTCACTTCCTCCCCTTCGGAGGCGGAGTCCGAAGTCCCAAAGGTCCCAAAGGATGCTGAGGGCCGCTGGGCCCCGGAGGTAACCGCCCCGCCCGAGCCCGCGGCCGACAACACGTCGGCCAAAGAGGTCACAGCGCACAGCACCGGGAGGGGGTTTCGGGAGGGGGTTTTGGGGGTTCTCTGGAGTCAGGGTCTCGACGGTTTGGCGGTTCTGGTGGGTTTTTCGTCGGTTTGCCGGTTTCGGAGATTCGATCCTTCTTGAATTTTGGAATCAGACTGCTCTCTAGACTGCAAGGTGATGATGTGGCAGCTCTGGAGGGAGGTAGAGACGGTTTCTGAATAGGTCGGGGTCGCACCGGGGATCGGGTGTCAGTATACGAGAACATATGGCAAGATGGTAACTGGGATCATGACGACCAGCATAGTGCCGTGAGACGGTTGAGAGTCATGGAACCCTGAATCCTGGAACCCTGAAATTCCGAACACACCAGCAAAACCTTGAAGCAAAATCCGAAACCAACTCGACTCTTGGCTTCCGTCGGGCCAAAAACTGGCGCTTCGTGTAATAATCAGGAGCCTATTCCTTGAGGGGGCTTTGCAGTCTCTGAAAACCTTGGAACAGCACACGACCCTGTTCAAAACGAATAGAAAACTTTTACAGAGCCTCTTATGTGAACCCTTCAAGAGCCCCTTATAGGATCGAATCTGGCGGTCCTCGTAGGAACTCTTGCAGGAATCCCTTGTTCCCGTTTTTTTGAAGCCTTCTATGTTAATCATGGCAAATTTTAGACTATGCTAGTATGCTTAGTATATTATGGCATATACAGAGTACTATAGCTATAATATAGTATATTGTGGTATCTTACCGCAGATTATAGCATATCATGGTCCATGATAGTAAAAATGTTACAGCCGAGGCCGAGACGGCCGAGGCGGCGGCTGAAGTCGAGGCGGACCCCACCGAGGCCCAAGGGCCCCCAGAAAGCCGGAAATATCTATCTATCTATATGTATATATATATATAGATATATTTGGATATATATATATATATACATATAGAGATACATATGTATATATATATATATATATATATATATAATATTCTGTGTGTCGGATGGCAAGGCTCAGGGTTTAAGGTTTAAGGGATTAGGTTCGGGGTCTGGGGCTATTGTTGAAGCAAACTGACGCATGTGCATGTAGCAACAATTAGGGTTTAGGTCTGGGGCTTAGGGTTGGGGGTTTAGGGTTTCCGGTTTAGGGTTTGGGGGTTTCATATGGTAGGGTTTAGGGCTTAGGGGTTATAGCGGGTTGAGGAAGTTCACGATGGCTGCTGGTGAGAGAGCGCTTCGCATCACTCCGCCTCCGCCCAAAGCCAGCACAGGCTCCGGTGACATCCACGTCCTCTGCGACAGTCAAGAAGACAGAGGCAAGGCATTGGCTGTCTTCACCTGCTCGCACTGGTTGGTTCCCTTGGCGTGCCGACCGAGGATGGCAAGTGGAAAGTCGACACCGGGTGCCGGCCATTGTTTTTTGCACAGCTGCTGGCATATATGGCATGCACGTGCAAATGCTTTTCATGAGCCCGATAGGTACATCGACCACAGGACGAAGGATCCGAATCGCCTGGAGGCGTGATATTTTGCTGGTCGTTGTGTGGGCACCTGGGGCATTAGCTGGGGGTCTGCATCATCTGCACGATACTCAACGGTTCGTGGGTCTTCGACCCAAGGAATATCAGCGCCGTAAAACTTACCAATTGTACGGTGGATAAAGGCTGTGGGTCCCTGAAGCCTATCTAGACACCCGGCTGGGCGGATGATTAGTCATGTGTTCCATTCCCCTCGCCGCGTGGCCAGAGCCGCCGCTCCGTTTTGGACGGCGAGAACGCGGCTGCTGCGGTCCCCAACCGCAGGGGGCTCGGATATAGGGTTTAGGGTGTTTAGGGTTCAGGATGCAAACCAGTAATCAGAATCGCAAGCAACACCGAATACGTACATGTGTATACCTGCACGTACCTATGTATGTATTATTCATGCATGTATGTACGTACTCGTATGTCTGTATGTATGCACGTATGGGTTTGCGATGTCCGGATATGCGGATGCATGGATACAGGCATGTATGCAGAGGGTGTTACCTTCCCTCGTGCACCCGTGTATATGTATGTATTTATGTACTTAAACCGTGTTCATGAGCACATGTGTATACGTCTTTCTGCATACAGGAGTATGTATGCCTACATGTCCATATGCGGGACAACGAGAGCATTCATGCATATGTCTTCCTGTCGGAAGGCCTTCTGCACTTTTGCAGGTATGGAGCTACTTGTATGTCTCTGTCTGTGCATGTGCTTGCATGAGAGGGTGCCCGTGCTCTGCAACCGTGTCTGCATCGGTCTCTCGCTTCTGGATTCTCCCTCCCTCCCTCCCTCCCTCCGTCTCTCTCTCTCTCTCTCTCTCTCTCTCTCTCTCCCTCTCTCTCTCTCTCTTTGTTTTGCTGTTGGTTGTGTTGATGTCGTGCTCTTGTAGCGTCACTTCTGCAGGAAGTGAGCGCGACGAGGAGGGGAAGTTCAAGGTCGACACCTCGTGCGCCGGGACCCAGCGCCAGCTCACATGCGGCCCCCGGGGCTGTCGCAGGTACATCAACCACCGGACCGGTGCGGGCGGCAGCATCAGAGAACGAGAGACGAGAGAGAGAGAGAGCCAGCGATACAGAGAGAGATATGCACGCGTAGAATTGGCTGCTTCTGCTTCGCGTTGTTCAGCCACACTGGATGTACATGTTCGTACACTTGCAAAGTACCTATCTATACCCAGTGTACATAAACATACACAATGCATGTGTACGTAAGCCACTGTTTAAGATATGTAAACGAATGCATGAATGAACGTTTACGTGTGCTCTCGAGGCCCTATATACATATATATATATATATATATATATAGAACCCTCACAAAACGCCTAACCCTTTCCCATAGCAAGCCCGGCTCCTATCTCTCCTAACCACACAGAAAGCCCCCGGCTGAAACGAGGCGAGGTGGACCGCCTGGAGGGCCGGCGCTCCGTTCTTGGGTGCTGGCCTCAGAGGACTCTGAGGGCGTTTTTTAGGGCTTCTGCTTCTGCTTCTTCGTTATTGCCTTCGTGTTTGTGTCAAGGGTTTTTTTGCTGAGTTTTATTGTGGGTTGATTAGCTTTCTGAGGGCTGTTGTCAGGACTAAGAACAAGAGTTCCTGAGCCTTTTTTGGAGAGAGCAGGTCAGAGAGGTTGTCTTGGGGTGTAGGGTCAATTTCTGCTGATGTTTTTGATGGACCATTATCACCACTGTCTTTGCACAGATGGCTGGTTATCACAGAAACTGCAAACCCTAAACCCTAAAACCTATCTCCTGTGCAAGGGCGGCGCCGGAGCGGGTGGCTCCATCGGCCTCAGTGCGGAAGGCAGTCATTTGCCCCCATAATATACCCAGTGTTTCTATACTAAAGTACAACATAACAGAAAGTGACCTGATGAAACATAGTATCGTATACTAGTTACTTGTGATGTAATGCTGTATAATACTAATGATGAACGTCCTTTCCTGCACCTCTATAAGTATTCACTGCTTCGCTTTTCTTGGTTTCCAGCAGCATCCTCGAGACAACAGCAGCGACAGAAGATTTCCCACAAAAGCAATGCTCATACAAGATGAGAGCCCTCATCCCATAGAGCTCACAGGGAAATCCGCAACCCCTAAACCTCTAAGCCCTTGAAGCCATAAACCCAAAACCTTTGACCGCAGACAAACTCTTGAGAATTGAATCCCTATAAACCCTAAACCCTTCAAGCGGTATTCCACCTCCCGCTCCGTCGCAGGAAAGCGGTGCCTGGAAAGTCGACACCTCGTGCGCCAAGGGGACGGAAGACGGCGGCCGAGAGTGAGGGAGTGGGCTTAGAAGGGTTTAGGGTTCAAGGCTTCGGGACTCCAGGGTGCAACGATTCTACTTTTGGGGTATATAGGGTTTTAGGATTTACGGGTTCGGGGTTCTCGGGTTGAGGGTTCAGGGTGTAGCTCCGAGTCACCTGGCTGTTTGTTTGCCTTTGGTTCACAGCCGGATCTGTGGGCCGATTGGGGTCTTGTGCAGTTTATCAGTGAATCAGCTGCTTGTGTTCCTTCATGCTTTTGGCAGCAGAGGTGAGACTGTCGGAAGCCTCCCCGCCGTGGTAGCCTTCCGGGATTTGTTCAACAGTGCGAGCCGAGCTTACGTCCAAGACCGTTGTTTCCTCAAAGCCCCAAATTCTCGGTAGGTACATCGGCCACCGCACCGGCGACCCAGGGAACCTGACAAGGAAAGAGGTGCGGCTGTTGAATTGTGCTCTCCTACCGCAGCTCTAGCGGTTTAGGCAAATAGCAGAGTGATGGGCATTTGCCGGATCCTCAAACGGGCATTCATTTGGGCGTTGCTGTGAGGATTCGTGGCATGGCATAGTGGTCGTTGTGGTGGTGGTCGTTTGTGGCAGTAGCTACTCAAAGGTGTTCAACATAGTATACTTATACATCTTAGCAGCTCGTAGTGTCTATGTAGTAGTTCGTAATATCCTGTCTACCTCAATCTTCTGTCTGTGCGCAGACTCACCCCTTGTGCACACACGACATTCGCCTGCCTGCAGCCATCTGACCAAGCATCTGCACAAGCCCAGCTGCTTTCCGTTCTCCACCGCGCCATGAGATCCTTGGATAGCAGTGAGGATTACATATCCTGCGGTACTTCCGGCTTCAACCCTTACATACACTGATGGGCGTGGGTCACGCCGCCAGCCAGTCGAGGTACACCACTCTTCGACATGACGCAAACCATGGTGCGCCGTCCTTTTTTGAGTAGCCGAGGTTTAGACGAGGTTCTCACGAAACACAGATGCAAGATGTTGGCCCGGCCGAACAGGTCAGGAACACGTTCGTGGAGCTCATTGAGACGGAGGAGGAGCATCTTCAGGGCTTTCGTCGCTGCGCTCTCCCGATGAACCTTGCTTTGAGGCGCCGCCCCCGCGACGCTCGTCTTCGGCGCCCCCATGCTGCAGGCGCAGCAAGCATTTCTTTGGTGTTCGGCGTTTGCTGCAATGGGGCTTCGGTGGCGGAGGAACATTGCAGATGGGTGTGGCATAACTTGACAGAAGTGCTTTGCATGCTCGCCTGATCGCATACATCGTCGCGGCCAGGCAATCGATCTTGCCGGACTTCCGGGCAGCTTGGCTTTGACTTAGTTTCAAATGCGGTCTCGGATTTCACATGTGAGCCCTGGCGCTGAGGCGGTGATGGACGCGACTACGGACGAGCCTGCGCAGGACAATGCCAAGTCCGGGACCCCAGCGCGCCTGGACCGTCTGCGCAGAGCGCCGGTCGGGCTGCAGCAGGGCGGGTAAGAGCATTTTGGCAGAAACGCAATCTGTTGATGGCTTTGATGTACCTGGGCAGGAGCAAGTTGATCAGATCCAAGAAAGCACCGCGCAGAGCACATTCACACATCAAAGGCAGACGGGGGAACGTGAGTCGTCGCTGCTTCCTTGAGATCATGTCAGGTTTGGCGAAGATGGTGTTGAAGCAGGTCGATTTCTCCTGAGTTTGGTAAAGCACGAGGCCGCTGCTTTGGGGACTCGCGGCTTGGGACATCGGTGTGATATTTAGCTTGGATTGGGTCAGGAGCCCTTAATCCGCATCGACGGTGGTGCTGGCCTGCGCCTGTTGGAGGTGGATGCTTGGCGTTGCTTGCTAGGCTTTGCAAGGTAAGGCCGGCGAGTGCTGGAAGGTGCTTCATGATCACACGATGCAGCCAGCAAGCTACAGCTTGAATCTCGAATGACAGGTTATGTTCCGTGACAGCGGAATTCAATCCGTTGAAGCCCGTGACGGACTAAGGTCCGGGGCCCATGCGTGACTGGCACGCCAAAGGCGCGTTTCGCTGCATATGTGCATGCGCACGTGCCAACAGCCTTTCGAATCGATTGCAGAATGGTGGGCTTACGAGAGCTACAGCGAGGACCGTCAGTGTGCGTGATGACAGCTATTTCCGTGATCCGTTAAGACGTTCAATGGAGTGGGTTGGCGACTGAACCAAGGTCAAGCTTCGAATCAAGTTGGTGCAGGTCGTCGCTTCTCATTTCCAGCAGAAAGCTGATTTCCCTTCAGGATTGGTGGGCTCGTGGAAGCTATGGCGAGGACCAGCATTGTGAAAGGATATATAATAACAATTTGGGGTATCCGCGAGCTACCGTCATTTCTGAGGAGTGGGTGGGTTACCCAAAATGGGTGGGCTGGCGACCTCCTCAGCATGCCCGCTCTGGGCTTGCATCACAGTTGCCGGCATCTGGTTAAAGGTTGTTTGGATGGATTCAGCAGGCACAAGCAAAGCCGCAAAAACCGACACGCGCTCAGCAAGATTGGCTGCTTAAGTTATAAGTTTACTTCGTTTTGATCACAGAGTGAAGACGTTGAACAACGATCCGAGGACGATCCACAAAGAAGAGCCGTGAGGATCCAAAGAATTGGCACGATTTCATCCAGAAGAGTCTCCGAGTTTGTATAGCACGTGCCGAGGTCATTCATGGAATCAGACAAGCTGGTGAAAGTCTAAATTTGTGCTCCCACTTGCACTTCGAGCAAATTCGATTTGATTCTGAAGTCTGGAAAGCTCCTGGCCAAAGATACTTCAGGCTGCTTTCACGCCTTCTAGATTCTCGACAAGCGGATTCAAACAGGGTGCGAAGCACCCTCCTTGTGGGTTACCATCACTGGCCAGTGGTTTGGGCAGGCTCCATGCGCATTTGCAAGTATAGAAGGCTGTGGTCTCACCCCCGTTACAGTGACTGTGCGTGCTTCGAAGCAGAAGGAACGGACTTGCAAATGCTATGCATGTCAAACCTGTACCTACATGTATGCATGTCAGTTGGCTCCCCAAACTGCCCCTAAACGCTTTCAGCCTTGTCGTTGCAGCTGGTGTGGTATTCACGATGATGATGGCGGCGGTGGTGGTTCGGATATGCATGCATGTAAGCATGTCTATACACTTGCCATGTATGTAAAACTACTATCTACATGCAAGACTGTGGATGTGTGTGTGTGTAACTATAGCAATGCCGTGTATGAATGTAGGTAAGTAGGTTGATAGGTATGTATGTATGTCTCTGTATGTACACAGATCGATATAAAGACAGGTAGATAGGCGTTTCTGTGTGTATATATACATTACATCTGTGAGTATATGTCTGTATGTTTTTTTGTTTGTATTTCTGCATATCTGTATGTATGTGTGTATGTATGTATGCATGTATGTATGTACATATATGTAATGTGTACGCATAAAGTGTCTGAACTGAGTTCCGGTTTGTCTTTGACTTCAGGCGACCGAGCAAGGAGCTGACTATGCAGACCCGGCAGAGCGGAAGTACCCTCACGAGGTGGGCTTTCTTTTCCATGTTAAATCACAGGGATCCCTGAATGAGGTTCCTTGTTCCTATAAGAACGTTTTTTTGAAGGGTTCCAGGTTGAAGCTGTACATCTTGGAGTCTAGGGGTCTCCGGCTTGCTGTTTTGGTTTGAATAGTTTTTTTCCAGGGTTGTGTACGGGTCCCGGGTGTTTCGGAGCTTCGAAGTTTCGGCTCTGCGGTTCTTGGATCGACGGTGTACGGGATTTTGGGTTTGTGGATTGGTTTCCGTTTAAGGTTTAGAGGTTTTGGGTAAGTGTAGGCAACAGTTCAGGGATTGCAGCATGGGGCCCGGGATTTGGGATTAGCCTTGAAGGTGCATGGCGAAGAAGGCTGAACAACCACCATGTATGCATGCGTGTATGTATGTATGTATGCATGTATGTATGTATGCATGTATGTATGTATGTGAATGAAGAATGATTGCATGAATCAATGAATCAAAGCACGACTGAACGAAAACATGAATGAATCAACGAATTTATGAATGAATGAAGAAATGAATGCAATGGAATGGAATGAAAGGGAATGAAATGAAATGCAGCGAATGAGTGAGAGCGTGGGTGGGTGGGTGGACGAATGAATGAATCAATGACTGAATGAAGGAGGGAAGGAAGGAAAGAGGGAAGGACTGATGTCCGTGTTTTTGTTTGCTCTGCGCTTTTCTGCGCTGTCGATATGTATATCGACTATGTATGTCTTCGGCATACATACTACGACATACTCTACAGATACGTACGCAGGTATGCAAGAAGCCCGTGAAGTATGCTTTCCCAAGAATACAGAAGCCATATGCTTACTAATACTATCCTTTTGTCTCCAGAGTACATACCCCCTAAGGCCCCACATGAGCTTCCTGCAAGACATGGCCATGCTTGCCATAAATCAGCGGCCGGATCGAGGCAAGGCTCGATCGTGAGCCCTCGTTTGTGAGATTCCCCAACCCAACAGATCTCACCTTTCTAAAGGTCTTTCTCCTGCAAATCCGACACCACGATTCGTACACCTCCCGGGTGGCCACGATACCGGGCCCGGTACTTCCCCAACAGCTTCACGCAAAACACGGAGGCCGCCAAAGGAGGTAATACCGCCCGCGATGCTAGGCGAACAACCATTCTCCCTCCCGGACCTACTGCTGGGAGGGTTGAGGGTTGAGGCGTTTAGGAGATTCAAAGCCCCCTTCACTTTGCCAACGCGCGCATCCCTCTCCTTCAGGAGCTGCGGGTTAGCAACGGCCGGCCGCAGGATGTGGACCCAGCCAGGCCCTGTGGGCTGTGGATGCGGGTCTTAAGATCCGAGTCCGAGTTAAGGGTTTTGGGGCATAGGGTTGAGAGGGAGAGCTTCTGCTGCTGGAAGGAGGGAGCTCTACCTGTCGGACGAGGAGTTCCAGGTCGGCATGTGCTCCCGAGTCGTGGGCGTTTTTTGGGGTTAAAAGGGGGCGATCTCCGCCTCTTTTGCAGAGGCCGTCTTCGGCATGGCCGTGGCCGACTTCCTCAAGCAGCCGAAGTGGAAGCAGCAGAATGCGAAGAAGGCGCGCGCGCTGCGGCCAGGGCCAGGCACAGCCTCTTCTCAGCTCTGAACACGCCGTTTCGCCTCGGTTAGGCCAAAGACCTCTTCTGAGTTTCGAAAGCGGGAGAGCGAGAGATGCTTTCCCGTGTTTTAGCTCCTAGCCTCTTGCTTTAGCCTGTAGCCCCTCCGAAAGCGGTGGGAAAGCGGTCTCAACAGAAAAAGGAATCCCCGATAGTTCGTGTGGCAGCTACAGGACCGGACTTGGTAGCAGACTGCAAACATCAGATGAGATGGGCCTTTCTTCGTTTGCCCTTGGACAGCAACATGACACTCCGTTCGCTTCGCCCATCAAGGATAGGCAGTCGCAGTGTGGCAGATTCCGGCTGAGAGTAGATAATCTCTGGTCGCCATGCGAGAGCAGAAGAGACTCCTTCGGATGCGCTTAGTTGCCAATTGCAGAGATCCGCAGCCTCGCTTGTCAATGGCATTCGGCTCCCGTGGGCGCGGCTGAGCCGCAGCTGCGCCGCTGCCAGGCCGGGCCTTGCACGCTTGCAGCAGCATTCAGCAGCTTTCTGCAGAAGGCAGCTGATTGCAGCAGTGTTTTTTGAAGTGATCACTTCATCGTGTGGCGTAGAGCGGCAAGTGCAGAGAGGTCTTTCGTGCGCACCCTTCTGAGGCTCAAGAACACGCAATCCGTTTCGTGATTACTCTGAGTGTCACGTGCTCGGAGATTCTTTGCAGTCCCATGGCTTTCGCAAAGAAGCTGGCCTTCGGTCTCGCGCTCTCCATCCGCTTGGGGCAGAGCAGCGACAGCTGGGAGCAGAAGTCCTTGGCCCACGATGACGAGTGCGACCGGGACTCTGAGGAGTGCGCGGTGTCTGAGCTCCAGCTGGGCGCCAGGGCCAAGGCCATCCAGAACGCTTCCCAGCACCTCATGGGGCCCCCAAGCACGCCCTTCCAGTACAACGGCATCGAATGGCCGGCTTTGAAGGTGGGGAAGAGTGGACCGGCGCACTTCTTTGCGATCGGGGATTGGGGCGGCATGGACGGAGCCCTTCACCCTCCCAATGAGTGCATGCCTCATGGCCACACTCCCGGCTGCCGGCCTCGGATCATCGCCTACCGCGGCGGCCAGACTCCGGGGCCCCACGTCTTCCCGCGCACCCGTTGGAACAAGCAACACTCGGAGCTCCTCTGCTCCCACGACCAGTTTGTCGCTTGCTTCGACGGGGGAGAGCACAAGGGGGAGCACTGCGTCCCGGGCTGTGGCTTCGTCCCAGGAGTCGACACGCAGCCGCAGATCCTGGTTGCCAATGCTTTCAGGGCACGTGCCGGCCTGGTGAACCCGGACTTCATTTTGAACGTTGGGGACAACTTCTATTGGGGAGGTATCGAGGAGAATTGCGGCGCCTCCATGCACGGCATTACCTCGACCACGCGCCATCAGTTCGATTCCATCTTCGAGGGTGTCTACCAAGGTGGTGGCCTCAGCAATAAGCCCTGGATTAGCGTCCTTGGCAACCACGACTGGGGAGGCAGGCAGTTCAACAACGGCTGGGACCAGCAGATTGCCTACACCTGGGCCAGCAACCGATGGATCATGCCTGCACCATACTACAGCATGAGAATCGAGTACTCGGGCTTCTCCATTGATGTCTTCGCCATCGACAGCAACGCCATGGATGCCAAGTCCCCGGAGGAGGACCCGGAGCACAACATGTGCGGGCGAAAGCACAACCCCCCAGGAGCCACCTGTGCTTCTATCGGGGGTCCCGCCAACGTGGACAGTTGCCACCAGTGGTTCATGGAGTTCTGGGCAAAAAACAAGGCCTGGGCCTTGCACAAAGTGCCTCAAAGCACCGCGGATTGGCAGATCGGCCTCACGCACTTCCCCTGCGGCCACGAGAGCGGCTTCTATGCCCAGCTCCACGGCCTGGGCATGGATTTGTTGGTCACCGGCCATCGCCACGACCAGGAGCTCCACGACCACTCGGGCCCCGGCGGCATGACCTGCATCGTGACCGGAGGTGGGACTTGAGAAGAACGCAAGCCCTCGTCTCATCATTATCTCCTTACCCTGAGGTGGCGGCGGGATCACGTCCGAGGCAACTCCGAACCCCATGGATCGCACGCACTGGTACGGCGAGGGACAGCGACTCCTCTACAGAAGAATGCCACAACACATGCTCTTTCGAGTAGCAAGAATTACCATGCTAGCGCTGATCATACTGCGAATCAAGATAATAGTGTAGCTACGCGAAGAATGACCCTGATGTTGCACACGCACGCACTTGTTGATACTAAGATACGCAGCAATAGCAACAGCAGCAGCAACAACAACAAGGAACAACAACAACAAACTACTGTACCGTGCGCGAAGGGTGTTTCTAACAGTCCAATATATCACACTGATCATCATAATCACATCGGTAAGATTCACCTTCCACTTCTCTCAGCAGGTTGCCTTCTCTGAGAAGTTCTAGACTGCTTTGTTTTTGGGGAGGTTCTGTGCGAGACTGAGGTATGGCTTCTACGACTTTACCGTCGATAAGAGCAAGATCTACATTGAGTCCATCAACTATGACGGAACCTTCCGCATGCTTCGGGCAAGCTTTTCTTTTTCGTTTTTGGCTGCCAACGCGTACCCTGAACCCTAATCTCCAAACACTAAACCATGGACGCCTCGTTTGAAGATTCATTGCCGCTTCAAGGCCATAGCTTGGTGTGGTGTGGCCGTTTAGCCCTGCCCCCTATCCAAGGAAAGGTCCTGAAGACTGCAACCGTTTATCCGAGCCGTTGACTTTGACCGTTTTGTAGTTCTGGCTTGCAGTGCAAAGCACTGCAATGTCGTAGGACCTTCGATTCAGGTTTCGCTTACAGCCTTTCAGCAAAGAGCTGCGCATCAAAAGAGGCCAAGCGTGATGCTCTTACCGTAGAGGCATCTGCAGAACGGAAGCCCACCATCACTATTTTGGGCAAGAGTTCCTCTCACTGCTCTGGGGCAATCTCTTTTGGACCCTTCTGCTTTCTTGCAAGTATGAGCTGTGTCGCACCTGACTCGCTGATAGGTTCCTTTGAGTGCAACCTCTCTGTCTCCCTCTCTCTCCGAGTTTCCGGCACGCTAATCCCCGGTGCTGCCCGGGTTCGGTGGTATTTTATCGCCCAGACAGTGCTGCCAGAAGTTCTGCTATCGTTGGCATGATGATGAATGCTTTTTCTTTGAATGTTTCTTCGTCATGGTTATCGGCGCAGTTAGTGGCATTGCCAGGACATTTGAGAGATTGTTCTACCACAGGGTTCTTGTTAAAAGGGAGGCATATGATGTACTATAGATCCATATTCTGGCCACTAAAAAGCAAATGAGACAACAGATCCAGATCACAATTTGGTCGCTAAAAAATAAGTTAATCCTAGAAGCCTTAAGAACCCTTCTTGCATCTTCCGGTGCTGGAGTCCAGGCTGGAGGTCGCCGTGCCCGGAAGGGCGTAGGGGGCCCTGGTGAAAACGGCATTTAGAGTTTTGGGGTTTAGGGCTTAAGGGGCTTAAGGGGTTTAAGGGTTGAAGGGGTTTAAGGGTTTCAGGGGTTGAAGAAGTTGAAAGGGTTTTGAGGGGTTTAGGGGTTCAGTTTAGGGTTCGGAGTTTGAAGGGATTTAGGGTGTGGGGGTTAGGGAAGGAAGATTTGAAGCGAGTCCGACTCCAAAGATTCGGACGTAGACATGCAGTCTTGAATTTCAGCGTTTGTTTTTGGGGGTTTGAGACACAGCGTTCAAGGTTTAGGGCTGTAGGGCTCGAGAGTTCTCGGGCCTAGCTGGGGGTTTGGGGCTGAGAGAATTTGAGGACGACCCGTTGAATATCATCGGCACTAAGGCTTATATGGTCCACCAACGCTAGGCCGTCGGCTCAGCCTACACAACATAATAAGAACCCATCGATCCGAGCTTTACACATCCCTGACCCGGCGGCACAGAAGTAAATTCCGAAACCATGAACCACGCACCCAAAGCAAAACCCCAACATCACTCAACCCTAGGGCTAGGACTCAAGGCAGAAGGGAAACGACATCAGCATCCCTCCGGCCTGATAGACCAGAATCACGAATCCAGTTTCAAGACTACGGTATCCTGCGCTGCATAATACTTAAAGTTATATGGGCAGATCTCAGCTCGCCCGTTCTGCCGCACCGTCCAGGCGTCAGCCAGCCGGCACTGCTTGCAACGAGGGCACGCGCATGTTCTCGCGGGGGCCTCGCAGAGCTTTCTTGCGTGCACAGGGACGGACGCGAAACTAATCTGTCTCGTTTTTGCACTTAGAGTCGTACAGGCCCCCGTACTCCGTTAGATATTGTGTGGAATGATGTAGTGTGCTTATGTGCTCGACGGCTTCTGCGACAGAGCCGACCATGAAGAGGCTTCCTGCAAAGGGGTCTCGGATCGGAAGCGCGGGGCCATTCGCTGCAAAGTGGTGGTCTCCTGCGACCGGCTCGGTCGCGGTCGCTGTCGTCACAAGCCTCCACCCAGCCTGCGCCTACATCTAGCTCCGTTTGACATGACGTTGCAAGGTGCACGCCACGCCCTTAAAGTGTGAGCGACTGACTCCATGTTGCCAGGGAAAATCTTGCACACTGCACACATGAACTCAGAGATTGAGCGGGAGTAGCCCGGCTACCTGGATAACTGCAAATCACACCTGTTGCGAGAAGGATTGGCTGCGGCGTGAAACGTGAAACGAGGCGGCCGGGACATTGAATCCAAGCCGTTTCAGATCGCTGCAGGCTCCACATGCTGCCAGCGCGCGGCAGCTGGGACCCTGCCCATGCACCTCGGCGGGCTTCGGGAAAGACTGCGCTGTCGTACGTACCTTGGGGGTTCCGGGCTTGGGTCTGTATAGTTCTGACGTAGCAGATAGTAGTTTGGGTGGCGCTGACAACATCAACTTAAAAGGATCCCGTGGTGTCAGGCTCTCTATGAGGTCACGGAGATGGTGCAGCGTTGCTGTGGGGGGGCTGGGGCGGGGCGGCTTTCCCGATGAACGTTGAAGTTGAACCTGTAGCATGTACTTAGGGGAGATTTGGCGGCGTGTGAACTTGGCAGCCGGCAGCCCGGGCCAAGGAG